CCCCCCAAAAAAAAACCCATACATACCCCAACAAACATTTTAATATGTACATTGAAATATCATTAGATTTAGTACTGAAAGATTACAAGCAAATGTGTTTTTCTGAGATTTCCCATTACCTTATCGAGACGAGCATATGCATTTTCTGCATCAAACTGAAAGGGAGCTTCCATTTTAAATCTTTCTCTGAATTCCACCTGCTTCCCCTGATGAAACACAGGTAATGACACCTGTCACTGATCATGTTCTCACAAAAAAAACAGAGATTAAAAAAAGACTGATCACAGAATTCAACATACATCAAGTAAAGTGCATTTTCTTCTGGTAACTGCAACCTCAGATGCCTGAAGAGGAGTTACTTTGTGCTTCACCGACACAGCTCTCTTCTTAATGGCATTCCATTTTTCAGGCAACTCCTATTTAACAGAGTAAAATTATCTTGGAGGAAAAATATCACACACGGCAGAAAAAACATCAGTAAGATTGTATATTAACAGTGAGGATACCCCAACACCTGCCTATCAATAAGACATTATAGTGGAGGATTTATTTAACCACAAACTATATTCTGTGTCGTAGCTTTTACTAGAATTTTTGTCAAATGTAAAATAATTAATTTTATGGATCATTGGTAATCATAAACTGCTTGAACTTAACGAACTTAGTTATTTTTTATATAATCACATAAAACTTCATTCTTGATTCTTGAATTGATTCCATTCAGGTTGGGAATCTTCCACACAGTAAAACAGAGAGCTCCACTCCTGCTGCTTTAACACATTTTCAAATATGTAAAGCTGACCTGGAAATAGCCTTCTCGTTCTACAGATCTCCCTAAGATCTCTAGAAAAACCATTCAGTAAACCATGCAAAAAACCCCATTCCATCAGGATGAAAAAAAAATCTTGACAGGTTTTTTGTCTGTGTCAAAAGAAAGTACAAGAAAGAGAAGCCTGAATCCAAGTCAATTCACAGTAACAAGATGACTAGTTTAAATGTACAATTTTTAATGTATACCTTATTTTCCTTGTCATCCCCTCAATCTGGTTTGGATCAGACACAGAAATAGCCATCGCACTGCGGACTCAAAAACTCACTGAAACTGGTGAGAAGTTTTCAATTTGTCTAATTAGATTATCTGATGAAAAATATTAGCTGAACTTCTACCCAATTCTATTCAACATTATTTACAGTGTAGCACATCTCCCAAAACAGACCAAATAGAGGTGTCTCATATGCAGGTGCTGATCTTACGGCCATGGCTTAATAAGCTCTTCTTTTAGCGTCAGCAGGGACCACTGCAGCTGTAGTGCTTTCCTACCTATTCTTACCACCGAGTTTCATTTAATTCAGTTGATTCCCCCAATTTCACTGCCATCCAAAATAATTATAGCTGGAATGGGTGTGGGGCAGAATATATACAGAAACAAGTGGCTGAGGATGTCTGAAAGACAGTATCACCTGACAGGCATCAAATCCCAGCTTTTGTATCCACGTTTGAACAGATCCCCAAACCACTGTTAACTGTGTTAAGAAGGTGAAGCAACATAGGAAATACACTCACTAGAGTTTCTATATGGTTCAGCTCCTGGGAGGCTTATGAATGTGAACATGATTTCGTCAATAGAAAAAAAAAAAGTAAAGGAAAAAAAGCAAAAAATAACTACAGACCTCATTCAGAACAAAACGCAACACATCTCTTTTTGAACTGATTTTCCATCATTCACATAAAACAAGCCTTTTAAAGAACATAAGAAAAGCTACCTGGTTTTATGGCTGGCAGTTGAGAAGGAGAGGAAAGAGCAGAATGGATTTTGTATCACTGAGATCAAATACTGCTATTTTGGGACCACATACACACATAAGTAAACATATTACTTTTGCTACAGTACCTCTACCTGGGCATAAACTTCAACTGGCATCTTCTGTCCATAGCTTTCTAACAGTGCAACCATCTCTTTTAAAGGTTCACAGAGTTCATCAGCAGTTGTCTGCCTCTGCTTCACAGCCAAGAGATGGCCCATGATTTCTGCCAGCACACAATAATCTCCCTTGGTTGCCTCTCTTCGAAGTCCAGCATCTGTCACTTTTATAAACTCTAAGTCAGTCAGACTACCAAAGAGACAGGTATGATTACAAACAGGGCAAACATTCCTTACTATAGTGAGTAAACATGTAGTAAGCCCTACCGGTACTACTAGTGGCACTTACGCTGTTTTACAAGATAAATATAGTTATTTATAAAATAAAATAGAAATAATATACTTTTATTATATAATTTTAAGACATTTTGGGCCTGACTTCCAGAGATGGCAAGTGCTACTATTGAGAATTAACCCAACAGGATACGCAAGTACAGTATCTGGAAAAACAAACAAACAAAAACCCAACCAACCACTAAAAAACCACTAAGAAAATAAAAATAAAAAAGCTGCAAACCCAGCTCATTGAAGTATTACATGTAAAAAGACCCAAGCTTATAATTATTCCTTTAGTGTATGTAAACATGCACTCCATTTTACCTAACAATGACACATCTCAAGAGATACTCCTTAAACATCCCGCTCCATTTCTTAACAATGTTTAGCAAGCTCATTTTGAAAGGCTTCGTATCTACTTTAAACGAACTTCCAAAAATTTTAGAGTCTTCAAACTGGCTTATCTGAACATAAAGATTTTCATAGATGTCAATCTAGAGCAGAAGAGAGAGAAATAAATGCATATACTCCTCCAATTCCCACTCCTCCCCCCCACTAAATAGCTAATTACTAAGACTAATTCTGTCCTTGCCTGCTCTTTAAACAGTTTAAGGGTGGGAGGCTGTTGAGAGCCTTCGTCAGTAAGAGACATCTTTGTGGATGCTAAACCATGACCACGGAGAAGGAATTGCTTCATAAACTCAGACTGGTCCTCCAGCCAGAGAGACACCTAACTAGCAAGAGATCTTCTGTACTCCAGGGCTTTGCTGGTAACATTTGCCACTCTCTCCATAATCTCCTGCCTGATTTCAGACAGATCAAACACGTTGTCCGTATCATTCTAAGCACCAAAAGAAAAGTTTTGTTATTTCAGTAACTGAGACAGTAATACCAATTGGTTAAATTTACATGCAGATGGATGACTAGAATTCCACCCCTTTTCCCCAGAGATCTATTAACAAGAAAAATTACAATTCACTCAGCTGTTCCTATTTTGGGTTTACATTTCATTATATGAACACATAAAAACAAACTGAATACATATCCTTTGCAAGTTATTCAAAGCTGAACTTTTCATGGACTATATGTAATTCTGACCTCCAGTTAGGTGGATACTCCCTTACTTGTCTAAGAGATTAAGTTTCCACTGTGTGAAGATTTACAGACTTCAACATGGTGCCCAAGGTGGAAGTTCACAGCACAACACATCTCATTCAGAGAGATGAATATTCAACTAATCTAAATTAGCTTTGTGTAAAATGGGCAACTTCATTCTGCTGCTCATGGATGCAGAATCGGGTGAAAGCATGAGTAAGCCTTCAGAAATTAATGGGACTATGCCTCTATAAACTGCATAACCGAGAGAACAGATGAGGCTCAGGATTTGAAGACTGATGCTATTAAATGAGTTTGCAACCAAAAATAAACTTCTTGCAGCTTACAATTATTCATTCAATGAAATCATTATGGATTCATTATTTCCAAACACAAGAGGAGAAGTTGTACCTGGTAATGTTCTGATCCCAGGTGTGCTGCTACCCTTTTCACCTGGGCAGACATTCAGAAAACATCACCCAGGAGTTCATCTACTAGGTCATAAAAGCCATCACCAGCCTCTTTATCTAGAGAAGGTTTAAACTGAATCTCTGTGCCATTAAAGGTCATTTGTGCTTGAAAAAGTGGAGCTGGCTTCAAACTTTTTTCTGTGTTCTCCAGAAAGAAGTCTAAAGAATGCATTATGGTGTTATATAAACCATCGACGACAACGTCATCAACATACTCTATATAAATCTCCCAAGAGGCTGAGGAGGAATCTGCTTTGAAGAGCTTTAAATTTTCCTAAATAATCAAACAAACAAACAAACAAACCATCTCACAGTTAAAAAGCACTTTAATATATGGTTGTGTTAATGTTTGTTTTCATTCAATACACCTCCTTGTTTCAGTATTATTTTATATAGTTGCCATATATTGCAAAACAACACTTTCTAATATACCTTGCATCCAGTGTGCTGCTGGACCATACTTTGGTCAGTGTAGGAGACTCCTGAACCTCCCTGGAATCACATTCACACTAACAAAACATCTGTGCAAGGGTGAAGGTATCCCTGCATTGAAAAGACTACAGCTTGGCAGAAAACTATCACACAATACATGAACTTGGATGGAATATCCACATTTTGTAGGAACACTTCTGCATGTTTGTTCTGCATTGCAGTATCAACCCTTGTTATATTTAACTAAACATTAAAAAGAAACACTTATTTTGATCCCCTTCTTAAATAAATATCAATAATATAAATAAAGGCAATAATACAAATAAAATTAGGTCTGAATTGGAACTAAACTTCAGATAGTAACACTAAGATTAATGTTGATAATGGACACAAAAATTTGTTGCAGTAGACACAGAAGCAGGTCCCTCAAAAAATTAGCAAAAATTGAGCAGAGACAAAAAAACCTGCTTCTGCATTCACACCTTGTTAAGTTCTTTGACTCAGTCACTGTATGATATATCACTTGTAGTCACGTAACACAACAGTTCATATTTAAGGATATTATAATTTGATTTAGCATTCATAAGTAAACTGGTGAATTAAGTTATCTGTTGTGTATTTTTAATTACACTTATAAGGAAGCAATATTCACATTTCAAACCAAAATTATTTCACAATATATCTAGTGCAAGAAAGTGTTTCAGGACAATTTCTCCAGCTGCAGAAATTAATTTACCTGTGGGGATCACAGGAACATAGCTCAGAGTAACAAAAATGAGACAGCAGCACTATCATGACTGCAGCTTGCCAGTCATTCCCAATCTACCAACTTAAAAAAGCACTAATGTACTTTTCAGAAGAAAAAAAAAGAACATTGGCAACAATGCCAAATTTGTTCTCTCTTCTCGCGATTTGTCTTCAGACATCAGTCTTAACTTTTGTGCAGTTTGTGCAATTATACAAATAACTGAACAAAAACATGCACGTGACCAAGTATTAATAGTCAAATACTTAACACCCATGTCACTACCTCAAAATACAGCTCACTTGGCCATTACCTTTACAAGATGACGGATCTGGTAGCTATTTTCTTGCAGCATTTTGTATACTTTAGCAAGTCTTTCTCCTTTGTCATCCAGGTATAATAGAGCTTCTTTTTTACCTTTCCTGAAAAAGAGGGCACGTTCCATCCAAGCGTTCATAATTCCCTGGACTGATCTAACATTGTCCTTTGATTGCTGAACTCTCTGCTCCAAATCACACACTGATGTTTTCACTTGTTTGATGCAGTCCCAGCAGGTTGTCGCCTGCCACATGCATATTTCTTCTGCTTTTTTTAGCTGGTCATCAATACTTCTCAGCTCTTTTTCAGTCAGAGGATATTCTACCTCCAGAGTAGTCTGCATTAGTCTGTTGTACAGCTGAACGACAAGGTCAAGGTTTCCGATACACTGTTCACAGGAAAGACACGCGCAGGATGAAATCTCTCTAACGTCCCACACCTGATATTACGCACTTTGCTGGGCAGAACAGCTATTTGAGGGAGGTCCTTTCACACCTACACACTGTGAAAGGGAAACCGTGCAGACCTTGAATGTGTCCAAACAGAACAGGCTGCTGGGTAGAAGGTAAGCTATGGGAAGGCAACGGGATCCACAGCCTGGAAGATCCAGACTGGCAGTGCCCCCAGGTATCCAATGCTCAGCTGTGGCCAGCATTGCAAGCTGAAGGGTAAGCTGCGGTGGGATTCTGTTAGACAAAGATGTGATATTTCCTTTCAAAAAGAAGAGGAGGATAGTCAGAGCCATGCACGTGCTCACACACATGCATGCAAGTTGCAAGGGCCATGGTGCAGAAAAAATTAAAAACAAAACACACAAAGCTAAAGCAGAATCTAGAATACTGGGTTGGTTCAACATCAAGGGTTATTTCACCTCTCTTAATAAAGCCACTAGCTAGAAGAAGGAAAGAAACAGTTTATTTCATATTTATCCTTTCAGAAGCCTCAACACAATGACTTTTTGTTTACTTTGTATTTAAGCTCAGATACAAGGCATTAGAATATCTTTTTGATGACTGGAGTACAAGAAAGTATACAGGAGACATCTTTTAATTAGTATCCAGCAATTTAAGGGTAGGGATTTAAGGGCTTTTTGAAGTTTGATAACTTGAAGGTATGTTACAAGGTAAGTGCTGTCATTATGATGTAATTATTATATTAACATATATTATTTTATTTCCTCCACGCGTCTCTGGGGAAACCATTTACTACTGTAACAACCTTCTTTACTGTTTAAAGTAAGCACTCTCCCCTGGGCAGGTATAGGGCAACTAGATTTCCCAACTGGAAAACAAAGACAACAAAATAAGTAAGATTTAAGATTTTAAGATTTACTCATACCCTAGAATATTACTGTCATTTTATGAATATGAAGTCAAGGAGAAACATCAGATACAGATTTAATTACAATTATACATATACCTTAGGGTCAAAATTCACACGCAGGAGGCCATTTTCAGGATTACGCTTAACTAGAGGTTGGTCTAAATTAAACTGACAAATTTCATCCACCTGAACTTTACATCCACAGTAGGTCTATTCTTCATATTGGTCAAGGAATTTCAACATCTCCACATATTTCTGAGAAATAAAAGCAGCTTCTGGACTTTCTAAGACTCTGCAAGGAAAAAACCACACCTAGTCAGTTTTCTTCATTTAACGATACCAATTCACAAACAAATTATGGTGGAAACTTTTGGTTTCCCACATTATTCATTTTTAGATAAAATTCCATGTATGCTGGACATTTTTAAGCTAGCCATAGCCTTACCAAATTGAACCAGAGCAGAAAAGATGCATAAAGCAAGAAGTGAGAACAATGGGAACAATAAAATTCTGGGGAAAAAAGGAGAATATGCCCCCATTGTATCTTAGTAGCTATGTCAGTGGAATGTTTGTTACTCAGTAATTTAATTCAGATGGGTCTAATTCTCCTACAGGAGCTTTCCATTCTTTGTGCTACCAACTAAAAGCATGTTTGCTAAAGGATCAGGAAAGGAGGGAGAGATGGGGCACAATTTTCAAATAACTTGGATGTCTAGGTCCCACAGAAGTATCTTTGAAAGCGGTGTCACCACAGAACAATAATACTGTTTATGTGGGATATGTTAGTGTTGTCCTAAAGCAGTGAAATTCCTGGGTTTGTTAGTTATTGACTCATCCAAAAAAATCATCAAGCAAACCTCTTACAGTTCTTAAAAAGCAATTCTGAGAATACTACTGAGTGCACTTCAATGCAGAAACATGAAGTTTCCAGAATATACCACAAAACTTGAACTGTACACATGCACAACATGGATGTATAAATTCACTCGGGTAAGAGACCATATTATGCAGATCACACTTGTTCAGTGATTAGTGATGACTTTCCACTAAATCAGTGACTACAAACACTTACAGATGAGGCAGAGACAAGTAGAACCAAAATGTGTGTATTCGTTCCTTCAGTTATCATAGAATCGTAGAATAGTTTGGGTTGGAAGGGAGCTTTAGAGGTCATCACCAGTACCCCCAGGTCCTTCTCGGCAGGGCTGCTCTCAATCCCTTCATGCCCCAGCCTGTATTGATACCAGGGGTTGCCCTGACCCAGGTGCAGGACCTTGCCCTTGGCCTTGTTAAACCTCATGAGGTTCACACAGGCCCACTTCTTGAGCTTGGCCAGGTCCCTCTGGATGGCATCCCGTCCCCCTGGCATGTCGACCGCACCACTCAGCTTGGTGTCATCTGCAAACTTGCTGAGGGTGCACTCGATGCCACTCGTCACCAATCTCCATCTGCACATTGAGCTGTTGACCACTACCCTCTGGATGCGACCATCTAACCAATTCCTCACCCGCCAGACAGTCCA